ACAAAAAAAAAAAAAAAATGAAATCGAGGCCTTACATACAGTAGGCAAATACTTTACCATTGAACTACATCCCCAGACTTTAACAATTTATATGTCTTTAAGCCAAGATGGCTGAATGCTGTAATCTTTAGATATGCTTGTTAAGCTTCAATAATTTTTTTTGGCTATTTGCAAATGCTTATATAGTAAAAGTGTATTACTTTTTTTTTTTTTTTGCCAGTCCAGGGCTTGAATTTAGGGCCTGAGCACTGTTCTGAGCCTCTCTGTGCTCAAGGCTAGCACTCTACCACTTGAGCCACAGCACCACTTCTGGCTTTTTCTGTGTATGTGGTACTGAATATTTGAACCCAGGGCTCCATGCATGTTAGGCAAGCACTCTACCACTAAGCCACATTCCTAGCCTGCATTACAGTTTTTGGAAAAAAATCCTTTGCATATTTTCATGAATGAAGCCATCTTTGGGATGGAAGAACATAATCTAATGGAAATGTCATTGCGTTGTGAAGCAAAGACATTTATAAAAAGTTCAGACTCCATTAGTTGTCAATTAATATTTTTTTTTGTCGGTCACAGGGCTTGAACTCTGGGTGCTGTCCCTGCACTCTTCAGCTCAAGGCGAGCACTCTACCACTTGAGCCACAGTGCCACTTCTGATTTTCTGGTGGTTTATTGGAGATAAGAGTCTCAACAACTTTCCTGCCCGGCTGGCTTTGAACTGCGATTCTCAGAGCTCAGCCTCCTGAGTAGCTTAGATTACAGGCATGAGCCACCAGCACCTAGCTCAATTATTAAATTTTGGACTTGACATTTATTATTGGCAATATCAAACTTGAAAACTTGTAGAATGAAGCTTTTCCATTGTTTAATTGCCCCCTAGGTTATATGGGTTTTTGGTGACCTTTCTTTCTTTCATTCTCTTTAAAATACTTTGCCTACTTTTTGCAGCAAATTCAGCACCCGACAGCTTCCTTGATTGCAAAAGTAGCAACAGCCCAGGATGACATCACAGGAGATGGTACCACTTCAAACGTTTTAATTATTGGAGAGTTACTAAAGCAAGCTGACCTTTACATTTCTGAGGTATTAACATTTCATACTTTATCTTGAGCAGTTTTTAAAAGAGGCTTCATTTTAGAGAGTACAAGTTAATTTTAATCAAGATATTCTGGTCAATTATAAGTAGAAGTAATAATGAACAAGTTTCTTGGCCAAAGCAATGGTCTTTATTATAATTATATACATTTTGTTAAAAAATAAAATGTTTAATGTATGTGTAAGAAAGGTAAAGAATCATCCTTATATATGTATGTGAGTAATGGCCTAAGAAAGAAAATTCTAGAGATAAAAGTTGAAACCAGGGGCTGGGGGTTTAGCCCAGAGGAAGGGCGCCCACTTGGCGCGCGCAAGGCCCTGGGTTCAGTTCTCAGCCCTGGTTAAAAAAAAAAAAGTTGAAACCAAATTGTTCAGCTTTGAACAAATAACTAAAAGAAAATGATTGAAGGTTTTCCACTTTGTGAGTTTACTTTTAGAAACGATCTATTCTAGCCAGATCCCTCTATCCAATGAGATTATCATGCACCACCTCTGTTCAGTATGTATTTTTTCCTTGGCATTACCTATTTGAATCTGTCCTTTATTCATAGACTATTTCAGCAAAACACACCTGGTCAGAGTGCTAAAATTATTGCTCCTTTGTGCTTCATTTAGTGTTGTGGATTGTCTAAATTCAGTACCAGCATCTTATCTCAGAATGCTTTTGGCTGTAAGTAGTTAGATACTTGAGTAAAACTTAAACAATAGGGAAACTATTACCTCCTGTAGTAGAACATTGAGAGATAAGGCAGAGTCTAGGATTGCTTGATTTGCAAGTCTTTTTGTCTCTTTGCTCTTTTGCCCATAGTATACTTCCAACCTAACAGTAGTTTCCATCTATATATGTGACTATAAGAGGAAATCAGTGCTACTTGCTTGAGCAGGAGAGTGCAGGAAATAAATCATTCATCTAACTATGAAATGTAAGCCCTTCCTAAGGAGGGACTGAGTGTGGTCAGACCAACTTTACTCTCATAGCAACCTATCATAATAATTATTTGCAGGGGAATGGAGACTAACTAGGACTCACCATTTAAACTAAGGATAGGACTGGTTTTCCTTGGATCACAGATGTAAAGAGGGTCACCCAAACAAAATCAGTGTTGGGTTAGGAAGAAAGGAGATTGAATGGTGAGATGCTGACAGGCACATAAGGGCAATGTATGTCTGGGCAGTGAAAGAATTAGGCACAGGATGTCACACAGCCACTGAAGAAGGACAGATACTCTGAACTATCCTGTGGTATTCAGAAAGTGGTCAGTGGAGAAAGCAGGCCTGGGCAAATCTTCAGACTGGAGTGAGCCACATGAAAGAGGGAGAGGTGAGAATGGTATTTTAGGCAGGAACAACATGGCACTGCAGTTAGCTACAACAGTCTGATGTTACTGTAGTTTTAAGTGATGTGCCCAGTAATGTGCCCAGTAAAGAGGCTGGAAAATGAGATAGGAGCCAGATCATAAAGTGTAAGGAGTATGGTAGTGAAGAATCTCACACTTTGCTGTGTGGTGAATAAATTAAACATAACAACCTCTGAATGACTGATATGGGTAGGGTGGCCTTTTAAATATTTGATGGCTTTTTTTTTTTTGAGTCAGTCATGGGGCTTGAACTCTGGGCCTGGAAGATGTGCTTGAGCTCTTCAGCTCAAGGCTAGCACTCTACCACTTGAGCCATAGCGCCACTTCTGGTTTTCTGGTGGTTAATAGAGATCAGAGACTTTCCTGCCGGGGCTGACTTTGAACTGGGATCCTCAGATATCAGCCTCCTGAATAGCTAGGATTAGAGGTGTGAGCCACCAGCGCCTGGCTTGATGACAATTTTAAGGATGCCAAGACCCAAAGTTCTAGTAGTCAAGATCTATGTGAGCTCTGGACAGAAAAAAAATTGAAAATGCGATTAGCCCAGGATTTAGAGGCAGATCTTGCAAGTTTAAATCCTGCCCCCACTTCTGTACTAGCTTGTTGATCTAAGGCAAGTTACATATTTCTCCAAATTCCTTTTTTCATCATCTGGGAAGTAGAAATAGTGATAGTACCACTTCATAGTGTTGTTGAGAGAGTTAAATTAAGATCATGTCCGTTAGCCCAGTGCCCAGCACAAATGCTCAATTAATTTCAACTTTGAAATGCCATTACAAGAGTGGCAGAGAAAGGGATGGAATGAAGTAGATTTTCTACCAGCTTTCACAAACTTTGCAAACTTGGTAGGCTGAGGCAGGAGGATTGTGGTTATCTAACTAACCTGGGCTACCTAGGAAGAACCTGTGTCAAAAAAAGTTATTAGAGCCAGGTGCTGGTGCTCACGCCTGTAATCCTAGCAACTCAGGAGTCTGAGATCTGAGGATTGTGGTTCAAAGCCAGCCTAGGCAGAAAAGTCCATTAGACTCTTATATTCAATTGACTACCAGAAAACTGGAAGTGGCACTGTGGCTCAAGTGGTAGAGCAGTTGCCTTGAGCTGAAGAGCTCAGGGACAGTGCCCAGGCCCAGAGTTCAAGTCCCATGACTGACAAAAAAAAATATTACTAGATCAAAACTTTAAGCCTTCAGAAAAATTTCAAGAATATTGCAAAGTATTACTGTATACCTTACTCAAATTCTCCAGGTATTTTTCCAGGCCCTGTCCTGTCTTTATAAGATATATGTTATAGGGGCTGGGAAGGTGGCTTAGTGATAGAGTGCTTGCCTTGTATGCATGAGGCCCTGGGTTCCATTCCTTAACACCACATAAGCAGAAAAAGCTGGAAGTGATGCTATGACTCAAGTGGTAGAGCACTTGCCTTGAGCTGAAGAGCTGAGGGACAGTGCCCAGGCCCAGAGTTCAGGCCCCACAACTGAAAAAAAAAGAAAAAATATATGTTATACATACAATATATATAACTTTTTTCAAGTGGTATGAGAGTAAACTGTAGGTATGAGTTACATGTTACAGTATGCGCTTTTTTTTGTGCCTGCCTTGGGGCTCAAACTCAGGGCTTGGGTACTGTCCCTGAGCTTTTTTGCTCAAGGCTAGTGTTCTTTATCATTTGGGCCATAGCTCCACTTCTGGCCTTTTGGAAGTTCACTGGAGATAAAAGTCTTACAGACTTTCCTGCCTTGGCTGGCTTTAAGCTTTGATTACAGGCATGCACCACTAGCACCCAGCTTCAGTAGACTTTTTTTAAGAACTAAGGTAATTCTCTTATATGACTATTGTGCATGTAGATGAAACAGGAAATTAACATTAACGTGACCCATTCATACAGTGCTAGTATCTAACCTGCAGGTGTTTTCCCCCAAGTTTCATTCTTCCAATACTGTCCTTCACAGAAGACAATCTAGGATAATGCATCGCATTAGGTGTCATGTCCCTTTACTCTCCTTTAAGTTGAAACAGTTCCTGAGCCCCTTTTATGCTTCATGACATAGCTACTCTTTTTTTTTTTTGTCGGTTGTGGGCCTGAACTCTGGGCATGGGCACTGTCCCTCAGCTCTTCAGCTCAAGGTTAGCCCTCTACCACTTGAGCCACAGCACCACTTCCGGCTTTTTCTGCTTATGTGGTGCTGAAGAATCGAACCCAGGGCCTCAGGCATGCAAGGCAAGCACTCTACCACTGAGCCACCTTCCCAGCCCTCTTTTTTTTTTTTTTTTCATTAGTCCTGTGGCTTGAACTCAGGGCCTGGGCGCTGTCCCTGAGCCTCTTTGCACTCAAGGCTAGTGCTCTAGCACTTGAACCACAGCACCACTTCTGGTTTTTTTGAGTAGTTTATTGGAGATAAGAGTCTCATGGAAACTTTTCTGCTCGGGCTGGCTTTGAACCCTGATCCTCAGATCTCAGCCTTCTGAGTAGCTAGAATTGTAGGCATGAGCCACCAGTGCCAGGCTGACATCACTGCTCTTAATAAGAAATGTATACTAGTTATTTTGTAGGAAGTCCCTACTTGTCTGTTTCTTTACTGTTAGACTCAGGCTATTAATTTTTGGCAGTAATAACATGGAAGTGCTCTTATGTTCTTATAAATGCATCCTACCAGGAGATATAGGCTAGACTTTGTTTTATTACTGTGAACTTAACTTTGATCACTGGGTAAAGGTGATGACTATCACTTTTCTTTAAATCATTGCTGGTTTGTTTCCTTTTCATTGAAAGGAGTTTTTTCTTTTAAACTCATTCAAAAGGGCAATGCATGATCATTTTAGGGGAAAAAGAGTTTAATACTAGGCATGATGGGGCATGCCTGTAAACACAGCTGAAGAAAAAAAAGTGACTTCTATATTTTTTTGAATTTGTACCTTTTCTGTAAGTTTGAGATCGTTTCAAATACAAAGCACTGAAAAATGTACATACAAATTAATATAATGTCATGAATGCAGATAACATTTATTTTGGGGGGATGTAACCTATTAATAGGATAGGGTACATTTAGTTTGAATGAATTACTGTAATTTTTAATTTTACATTGCTACAACAGGGACTGCATCCTAGAATAATCTCTGAAGGATTTGAAGCTGCAAAGGTAAAGGCACTTGAGGTTTTAGATGAAGTTAAAGTGAAAAAGGAGATGAAAAGAGATACACTGTTAGATGTGGCTCGAACATCTCTACGAACCAAAGTTCATGCTGAACTGGCTGACGTGCTGACAGAGGTACATGACTAAAGTTTGGTATTCACAATTAGTTTGATCAGGCCTGTGGTGATATTTTTTTTCCTATGAGAGAAAATATTGCATGTGATTTTTAAATGTAGCAACAGGAAGGCAAATAATTATAATTGTCTTATGTATAGACAAGATTGGTCAGAAAAGTATTTGTAATTTTTTAACATGTCATAATACTTAACGCTTTCAAGTGACTTGAAAGTTAGAGAGTCTTGGGTGCCTGTGGGTTATCTGCTGTGGTGTCCTAGTGTGGTAGAGAGGTCTCAGCTTAGCTGTTACATTAGGTGACACACAGAGGGCTACTGCTTTAATGAAGCATGATTGATCTGATATGTAACACATTTAAGAAATAAACACTTGGGGCTGGGAAGGTCGCTGAGTGGTAGAGCGCTTGCCTTGCATGCCTGAGGCCCTGAGTTCGATTCCTCAGCACCACATAAGCAAAAAGAAAAAAAGCCAGAAGTGGCGCTGTGGCTCAAGTGGTAGAGAGCTAGCCTTGAGCTGAAGAGCTGAGGGACAGCGCCCAGGCCCAGAGTTCAGGCCCCACGACCGGACCCCCCCCCCCAAAAAAAGAAATAAACACTTGTTTACCTTCAAAAAGAATATCTGAGTCTGGTGTCAGGGGCTCACATCTGTAATCCTAGCTACTCAGGAGGCTGAGATCTTATGATCGCAGTTAGAAGCCAGTCTGCACAGCAAAGTCCTTGAGATTCTTATCTCCAGTAAACAACTCAAAAAAGCCAGAAATAGCACTGTAGCTCTAGTGGTAGAGTGCTAGCCTTGAGCACAAAGAGGCTTAGAGATGGTACCCAGGTCCTGAGTTCAAGCTACCAGCTTTTTTTGCAAAGACTTTATTTTTATTTTTTTTTGGGTCCGGTCGTGGGGCCTGAACTCTGGGCTTGGGCGCTGTCCCTCAGCTCTTCAGCTCAAGGCTAGCACTCTACCACTTGAGCTACAGCGCCACTTCCGGTTTTCTGGTAGTTTATTGGAGATAGGAGTCTCACGGTTTCTCCTGCCCGGGCTGGCTTTGAACCGCGATCCTCAGATCTCAGCCTCCTGAGTAGCTACGATTACAGGCGTGAGCCACCAGCGCCCGGCTAGCTTTGCCTTTTTTAAAGCTGAGGCCCTTTAACTTGTGTAGTGTAGTTCCTGTCTAGCTGGATTACTTGGGCCTATAGTAGTTTTTGTTTTTAATAAGTCCAAATAATTTATTATTCTTATTAATTTCTCTTTCAGGCTGTGGTGGACTCTGTTTTGGCTGTTAGAAGACCGGGTTATCCTATTGATCTCTTCATGGTGGAAATCATGGAGATGAAGCATAAATCAGAAACAGATACACAGTAAATGGCATAACATTAGATCATATGTGCAAATATTCTATGTTCTAGAATATTCTGATATTCTTTTTCCCCCTGATACTGGAGTTTTATTTCAGGTCCTTGTGCTTGGTAGGCAAGCCACTACATCAACCTCTAACACTTGAGCCATACATATAGCCCTGCTTTTTTTAATGTATTGTCCCAGACCAGCCTTGGGACTGTTATCCTCCTATCTATGCCTGCATAGTAGCTAGCATTATAGGGACAAGCCACTGTTACTAGCTCTTCTCAGATATATAACTAATTTTGTTAGTTGCTTTTATTGAACATCAGAGTATTGACTCAACATATATTAACTGAGTCAGACACTTCCTAGGTGCTGGAATGAAGAGTAAACCACAGAAGTTCCTTAAGTTTACCTTTCTAACTTAACTAAAAAACAAAACTCATCTATCTTGTTGCATGCATTAGATTGTTATTTTTTATTGATGTTTAATATTTTCTTGTGTTATTATTGTATAGTTTATTAATTCTACTGTTAATAAGCACTTAAATAGTTTTAAATAAGTTTATGAATAGTGCTTCTATAAACATTGTAACATCCTTTTGTTAGATATGTATTTGTTCCCTTGGCTTTTTAATAGTGTTGTGTGTGTTTGTTAATAATTTTAGTTGTATACAATGATTCTGAGCAAGTGTCCCTAAGAAATTTATTGATCCACTATTTCATATTTTTGAGCCATGGAACTTAGAGAATAATTTTGGTTTGACTTTTTGCTGTGACTTTGTAGTCACACTGTATTAAAGCAGATTTTCTTTCCTAATTCTATTAGTTACATGCAAGAGTTACATGCAAGAGTTGAAGTACCCTGACTATTGTGCTAAAACCTTGCGAATGATTCTAACTTAAAGTGTCTATTCAAAGTAAAAAACCATTGTGTATATTTTAATAGGCTGATCAAAGGATTAGTTTTGGATCATGGTGCCCGTCATCCACATATGAAGAAGCAAGTGGAAGATGCATTTATCCTGACTTGCAATGTATCACTAGAATATGAAAAAACGTATGTCTTAGTTTTTTTTAATAACTTTTGAAACTCTTTTTTGGAAAGTGCTTTTTAATCTCTTAATTTTCTTTTTTCCCTTGCCTTCTCCCCATGCTTTACTAGCTTGCTTGTTTGTTTGTTTTTTTGAGTTGGGGTCTTGCTATATAGCCTAGGATGGCCTTGAATTTGCAGCCTTTTTGCCTCAGCCCCCAGAGTTCTGGAATTACAGGCACATGCTACCATATCTGGCTTACTAGTTTGTTCTTATGAATCTTTTTAGAGAGGTGAACTCTGGTTTCTTTTATAAGACTGCAGAAGAGAAAGAGCGATTTGTAAAAGCTGAACGAAAATTCATTGAAGATCGAGTACAAAAAATAATAGACCTGAAAGAAAAAGTCTGTGCTAATTCCAACAAAGGATTTGTTGTTATTAATCAAAAGGTGAGAAGGAAAGTTTAGATTTTCATTTGTGTTTTCAGCACTTCTCAAATGTGGTCTATGGACCCCTGGTGGGGTTGGCTATCAGGGAGTCTGAGGTAAAAACTATTTTCCTGTTTCCCATTACTAACAGTGCCTTGGCACTGGGCAGATATGTAGTGATAGTGGAAGGCAGTGTCCATGAACTGTCTGGCGTCTTGCTGCAGCCCAGGCAGTAGCACTGGACTATGGACCAGGTCACTCATCATCTTCATTGCTACACCCCTCACACCTGCAGAAAACTGGTAGTTTTTTAAAAAGGGCTTGATAAAGTGATTACATTTGTGATAAAGTCTGAAGTACACTTCTGCTATGTATCGAAACATGGTGATTGTCTTGAAGGAAAACCCTGGTGCAATTGAGCTGTGAGAATACTATCCAGTTTTGTCATGGAAAGCCATTTTTATTTTGAAGAATGACTAACAAATTGTGGTTATTTAGATTTGAGTATTTGGTAGATTTCATCCTGAAAAATGAATGAAGCAATTCTATCACTTCAAGGAAGACACCTGTCAGTATTTATTGCCAATGGCAATTTGAACTTAATTCAGTGAACTAATATTTTGTAAATGACTAAAAAAATGCTTGATTTTAAATAAGTCATTTAAAGTGCAAAACTAATAGATTTTAATGCAAGAGAGTCTGAAAAGTTCATGATATAGCTCCATCTTCTACATTGAAACCAACCTTTGAGAAATTTGTGTATACATGTCAGTATCAGTACCTTGAGTTTGGAGTCTTAGACTTCTCTACCATCCTGACACCTGAATGTGCCAGTACTTAGGGCTTGAACTCATGGCCTTGTGCTCTCGATTAGCTTTTTCTCTCACAACGAATGCTCTACAATTTGCCTTATACCTCCAGTCTGGCAAAGAAAACAGTGATGTTTTGAGTTTTGTTTAACCTGTAGTATCAGAGAAAAATATTTGTATTTATCTCAAAAGCCTACTAAAATATTTGCCCCTTTCCAATATTTATTAATGTGGGACCAGATTTCTGCATATATTTGAACCAAAACAATATGGGAGAATCATTGTCTTCTATTTAGACAGACCTTTAAAAAATGTGAATCACTTCCAGAAACCTTTGTTTTGGAAAGTATAGTAAATATTTTATTAAAAATATTGTTATATTTATTGCCCAATGTACATTTCTTTTTGAACAATGTTAACTCCTCCTTCATTTTCTCTTGCTTTTCCTTCCCCTACTCCCATCCCCCCCAAGTTGTAAAGTTCTTTTTTAAAAAATATAACTTAGGGCTGGGAAGTTGGCTCAGTGGTAGAGCGCTTGCCTTGCATGCCTGAGGCCCTGGGTTCAATTCCTCAGCACCACATAAGCAAAAAGAAAAAAAACCCGAAAGTGGCACTGTGGCTCAAGTGGTAGAGCTCTAGCCTTGAGCTGAAGAGCTGAGGAACAGCGCTCAGGCCCAGAGTTCAGGCCCCACGACCAGACCCAAAAATAAAAATAAAAAATGTAACTTTATTGTTATTATTAAGGTGATATACACAGGGATTACTGTTTCATAAGTTAGGTCATGGGTACATCTCTTTTGGACAGCATCACCACTCTGTTTTACCCCAGTTTCCCCCTCCCTTCCCTGCCCACATGTTGCATAATTCTTTTTCCATGACGTATCTACTGAGTACCATGACTGTATTTGTTCACCTTCCTCCTCTTGCCTTGCCTCAAAAGACAAAAAACAACAGCAATAACAAAAAAAAATCCCAAAGCAAAAACAAATGACACTTCAAACACCTCAGGGCCTGGGCACTGTCTCTGTACCTCTTTGTGCTCAAGGCTAGTGCTGTACCACTCGAATCACAGAGTCACTTCTGTTTGTTTTTTAATTTTTTTTGAGTGGTTAATTGCAAATAAGAGTCTCAGGGGGACTTTTCTGCCCTGGCTGGCTTTGAACCATGATCCTCAGATCTCAGCCTCCCTAGTAGCTAGGATTATAGATATGAGCCAACAGTGCCTAGCTTTCTCTCTTTTTATTTATTTATTTTTTGTCCATTGTGGCTTGAACTCTGAGCTTTGGTGCTGTCTCTGAGCTCTTCAGCTCTATCACTTGAGCCACAGTGCCACTTCCGGTTTTCTGGTGGTTAGTTGGAGATAAGAGTTTAATGGATCTTCTTGCCTGGGCTGGCTTTGAACCTTATCCTCAGATCTCAGCCTCCTGAGTAGCTAGGATTTCAGGTGTGAGCCTTTGGTGCCCAGCTCTTCCTCATAATTTTTTTTTGGGGGGTCTGGTTGTGGGGCCTGAACTCTGGGCCTGGGCACTGTCCCTCAGCTCTTCAGCTCAAGGCTAGTACTCTACCACTTGAGCCACAGCTCCACTTTCGGCTTTTTTTTTTCTGCTTATGTGGTGCTGAGGAATCGAACCCAGGGCCTCAGGCATGCAAGGCAAGCACTCTACCACTGAGCCACCTTCCCAGCCCCCTCATAATTTTTAACAGTATAAAGTGACAGGCTGTGCACTGTAGGCTCACACCTGCAATCCTAGCTACTCAGGAGGCTGAGATCTGAGGATCAAGGTTCTAAAGACAGCTTGGGCAAAAAAACCCCAAAAAACCCAAGTGGTGCCGTGGTTCAAGTGGTAGAGTACTAGCCTTGGGCACAAAAGCTGAGGGAAAGTACCCTGAGTTCAAGTCCCAGGACTGGCATGGACAGACACACACACACACACACACACACACCACAGGTACGTAAACACACAAGTGTACAGTGATGCTGAGACTAGAAAGTTTGAAAAATCCTGGTTTAAAATCCATTTATGAGAGGCTGGGTACCAGTGGCTCATGCCTGTAATCCTACTACTCAGGAGGACCATGGTTCAAAGCCAGCCTGGGCAGGGAAGTCCATGAGACTCTTGTCTCCAATACCCCTCAGAAAACTGGAAGTGGAGCTGTGGCTCAAGTGGTAGAGCGCTTGCCTTGAGCTGAAGAGCTGAGGGACAGTGCCCAGGCCCAGAGTTCAAACCCCATGACCGACAAAAAAAAAGTTTATGAGATAAACATATATAAACACGCATAGGATCATAAATCTGGATATGTATTTATAATTGTGGGATCACCTGAGAGAACTGAGGAGCAGGAAACAGAACAACATGGAATCCATTGTATCTGTGAGTGAAGGATCACTGAAAGCTGCACAATAGTGGGCAGTTGGGATGGGGCAAATGAAAGCCAATTTAAAGTATATGCATGTGTATATGCATATGTGAAATACTATGATGAGATCTGAAGAAATAGCATATGCTAAATAAAATGAATGGCTGAAATGTAGAACAGGTCCTATCCAGGGTGTGGGTGCTAGTGAGTATAGGGGGAGAGAATGAAGGAGGGTGAATGTAGCCAAAATGCTTTATTTAGCACACGTGAGAAAGCGGAACATTGAAGCTTGTTGAGATTAGTATTTTGTGGGAAGGGTGAAGAAGAGTTATGGAAGGGCTAAATCTGATCAAAGTGCATTGTATGCATGTAAGTATGTGTATATGTGTGTGTATATATATATATATATATATACATATATACATGTCAAAATGAAACCTCCTAGTCCAATTAATTGATGCTAATTGATGACCAGGGATATAGCATTTGCTTAGCATCGATTTGACCCACAGCATAGCTAAAACAAAAACAATTTAAAAAAGTGTAACTCTTTTTTTGTCAGTTGTGGGGTCTGAACTCTGGGCCTGGGCGCTGTCCCTCAGCTCTTCAGCTCAAGGCTAGTACCCTACCACTTAAGCCACAGCACCACTTCCGGCTTTTTTCTGCTTATGTGGTGCTGAGGAATTGAACCCAGGGCCTCATGCATGCGAGGCAAGCACACTACCACTGAGCCACCTTTTCAGCCCCCCAAATTTGTAACTTTTATGTTAATTTGATTATAGGGAATTGATCCATTTTCCTTAGACACTTTTGCAAAGCATGGAATAGTAGCTCTTCGAAGAGCAAAAAGAAGAAATATGGAAAGGTAAGCTTATAAATTATGTATTCTAAATTATTTTATATGGCTATTGAGGCTTGAATGTAGGGCCTCATACTCTTACTGGGCCTTTTCTCTGTTCAGACTGGTGCTCTACCACTTGGGCCACATCTCCTACACATTTTATGTGTGTGTGTGTGTGTGTCTATGTGTGTGTGTGTGTGAGTACTGGGGTGAACTCAGAGCCTGGGTGCTGTCCCTTAGCTTTTTTCACTCAAGACTGGTATTCTACCACTTGAGCCACAGCATCGTTTCTGTTTTTTTGTTTTTGGTGATTAATTGGAGGTAAGAGTCTCAGGAACTTTTCTTCCTGGATTGGCTTCAAACTGCAATCCTCAGATTTTAGCCTTCTGTGTATGTAGAATCATCCTAGGTATCTCATGTGAATTGCTCCCCCCCCTCTTCCTTTTTTTCTGTTGGTTGTGGAGCTTAACTCGGAGCCTGGTTGCTGTCCTTGAGCTCTTTTGCTCAAAGCTAGCACTCTACCACTTTGTGTCACAGCACCACTTCTGGTTTTCTAGTGGTTGGTGATGAGTCTCACAGATGCTTCTGCTCAGGCTGGTTTTGAACTGCCACTCTAAGATCTCAGCCTCTTGAGTAGCTAGGATTACAAGTGTGAGTCACCAACACCCAGCCTCTTTCTTTGTTTTTGAGAGAGTTTTACTATTACAGGCAAGCCTGGAACTCACTATTCAGACGGGCCTCAAACTGTCTGCCTTAGCTTCCGGGTGCTGGTTTACAGGCATGAACCATCACACCTGGCATCCATGAATATTTCTTTTGGTTTTATAAACAAATACTTTTGGGGAAATAGTAGTGTACAAATTGCAAATTTTGTTCTTTTTACTTTTTTACAAAGACAAAAATATCTTTAATATGATATAATCAATAATATCTACAATAGAAATAAAGTATTACAATAAACATCAAATGTCAGATATTTTGTTCATAAGTACATAGTATAAATAATTATCAAAAAAACAAGTATTTAACTTCATAATTTTGTTGAACTGCCAAGAAAGTTTTCAATCTTTAAAAATAGATTTAAGAATAATACTTCATAATCTCTCTTATATGTGATTAAATATGTTGAACTCAGGGAAAGAGGAAAATTATAGTTACTCAAAGTTGGGGAAGTGGGGGTTTGGCAGATAGATGATGGTCAAAGGATATAAAATTTGTTAGATAGGAAGTACCTCTTCAAGGATCTATTGTACAACATGGTCAGGTAAGGATATAGTGTATTGTTGATAAGTGCTGAGAGTAGATTTCAAGTGTTCTCACTACAAAAATGTTAACTATGAGAGCTAATGCATGTTAATTACCTTGATTTAGCCATCTGCAGTGTAAATATTGGCCATACTGGAGTTTGAATTTAGGGCTTGTACTCTGCAACTTGAGCCATGTCCCAGGATTTTTTGGCTTTTATTTGATTATGATTACTATTTTCAAGGGGGCAACTAGGGCTTGAACTCAGAGCCTGGGTGCTGTTCCTGGGCTTTAGTGCTCAAGGCTAGTGCTCTGCAACTTTGAGCCACAGCTGTACTTCTGGGTTTTGGTAGTTAGTTGGAGATAAGAGTCTCATGGCCTTTCCTGCCCCAGGCTGGCTTCAAACTACAATCCTCAGATCTCAGCCTCCTGCATAGCTAGGATTACAAGAATGAGCCACCAGAGCCTGGCTTGCTTTAGTTATTTTTTAGAGTCTCACATTTTTTGCCAAGGATGAGTCTCAGACTGTGATCCTCTCAATCTCTCCCTCTTGAATAGATGGAATTACAGGTATTTACCACCTTGCCTAGCATTGTGTGTGTATGTTGGCGGGGGTGTGTGTGTGGGGGGGGGAGGGTGTATGTGTGTATTGACATGTCATACTTGATAAATATGTATAATTTGTAAACTTAAAAAAAACCACCCAAACAGTATAATACATTATAATATAGCCTTCCATGCGACAGATCTGCTAGATACCTATTCATCTTAAAAAAATTAGCACTTACATTTTCCATAACCAGAGCTATGGTAACATAGTGTGTGCTTTCAGACTTTGTCTTGCTTGTGGTGGAGTGGCTATGAACTCGCTTGAGGACCTCACTATAGATTGCTTGGGACATGCTGGTCTTGTGTTTGAGTATACTTTAGTGAGTATTTCTGTGAATAGTGGTTATAAAGTGAACCAAGCCTATTTTTTAAATACTAACCTTTAAATTCATATTTTGAACTGACTAACCTGTAGAATAGATTTTCAATTACTTGAATATTTGTTTAGAGTTCAAATATAATTTATTTATATTATTTTTTTTTGGGTCCGGTTGTGGGCCTGAACTCTGGGCCTGGGCGCTGTCTCTCAGCTCTTCAGCTCAAGGCTAGTGCTCTACCACTTGAGCCACAGCACCACTTCCGGCTTTTTCTTTTTGCTTATGTGGTGCTGCGGAATCGAACCCAGGGCCTCATGCATGCAAGGCAAGCGCTCTACCACTGAGCCACCTTCCCAGCCCCTATTTTTTTTTTTTTTGAGACAGGGTCTCGCTGTGTAGCTATGTCTGGGCTCCAACTCCCTGTCCTTCTGCCTTCACTTCTGAGTGCTGAGACAACTATTTTAAGACATTTCTTTAGTTAAGATTGATAAAAAGAAGTGGCGCTGTGGCTCAAGTGGTAGAGTACTTGCCTTGAGCTGAAGAGCTGAGGGACAGCACCCAGGCCTAGAGTTCAGGCCCCATGACCGGAAAAAAAAAAAAGATTGATTTAAAAAAAGTCACATGAAGAGTGAAGTTCTGATATAAATTAGGTCTTGATTTTATAATGTCACTGAATAGTGAAAGTTTTATCTTTTATTTAATGGTGCTGGGGCTCTAGGTTCTCATGCATGCTAGGCAAATGTTCAGAAATGGAGCTGTGATAGTTCTCTTTAGGGCCCCTCTATTCAGAGAATCTCCTTATTTTCTTGTGACTTTCATTTTACTTCTAAAGAAAATTTCTCTGTTTGCATTAAAAAAGAGAGGAGCTTCATCTTCAGCCTTAAAGTTATGTCTTTGTGTGTCACCTTTAGGGTGAAGAAAAGTTTACATTTATTGAGGACTGTGTTAACCCTCGCTCTGTCACCTTATTGATCAAAGGACCAAATAAGCATACTCTCACACAAATCAAGGATGCCATAAGAGATGGACTTCGTGCCATCAAGAATGCCATTGAAGATGGTAAGCTCTTTCTGGTAATGGACACATTAGCCTTGCATTTATAAGCATTGACGAATCCATCATGGGATATAAGCTATTTTCAAAGACAGGAATGATTATTGTTTTCTCATCTCACTTTGAACAATTTGTGCTTTGGATTATAAAGATTTTTTCCTTTGGAATATTCTTTTTAAAAAATTTACAGTTGTATCATATTGAAATGTTCTTCATGGTATGCTACTCCCTTAATTAACTCCTGTTTATGAAAGGAAAATTACTTAATTCAAATGCTATCATATCATTCTTTACTTTTAAGATGTTTTTCCATTACTGGAGAGCACTTATTAGGCAAGTGCTCTACCACTTCACCCATGCCTCCAGCCCTTTTCTTGGTGCTTGGTTTTTGAGATAGACTCTTACAAAATTTGACCTGGCTGTCCTCAAATCTAGGATTTTCTTGCCTTCTCTTTTCAGTAGCAGAACAGGTAAGTACCTACACGGAGCTTTAAAAATACCTTGGAAATGATTTTATAGTTCTACAAAGGAACAAGTATATATATGTGTACATATGTATATTTATATGCATTATATATATAAAATGCATAATATATATATTTCCCCCCTCACACTCTCCCTTAACCTTTCCTGTTCAAGGCTGGCATTCTACCACTTGAGTCACAGTTCTACTTCTAGCTTATTGGAGGTTAACTGGAGATAAGACTCTACTGGACTTTTCTTGCCTGGCTGGCTTTCAACAAGGATCCAGATCCCAGCCTCCTGAGTAGCTATATATATCCAGAGCTCTTGTCTTAGAAAAGTAAAACCAGACGTCTAAGTTTTTTTCACAGGCAGCAGTTTGAGTTCTACTCCACTTTAGAAAACAAGTACTTGATTGAGTCCCAAGAATTCCATATCAAAAACTCTGGTCAAATTACCTAAACAATTTCACACAATGTATTGCAATTATTTGTAAAGAAATACCTTTTCTTGTAGTCATAGAAAAAGATGAAAGTGGAAGAAATGTCTATTCATATTTGCCAGAGAATAAACAATGAGATAAGTTGTTGTAGTAGTCATTAATCTGTGCCATGCTTAATTATTTAACTTCAGAATGCTTTCTAGGACGACTGTGCTATGCAGTTTATTTGATTTCTGTATGTATTTAAATACATTTTAGGGGTGGGTAAGATAATAGCACACACTTGCAAAGTTTGCTTTTTTAATCTTTCTTTTTCTGGTGTGGCATATGTTGCCATCAAATTTTTTTTTCTCCTCCAAATAGATTGTGTGGTTCCAGGTGCTGGAGCAGTTGAAGTGGCCATAGCAGATGCTCTTGTTCAGTACAAGTACAGTATCCAAGGAAGAGCTCGCCTTGGAGTCCAAGCTTTTGCAGATGCCTTACTCATAATTCCCAAGGTACAACCATCCTACTGGCCAGATTACAGCTGCTCAGACCTAAAGACATTTGATTACTAATGGCTCATATTAACTAACAGCAGATTAGACAAACATATTTGTTTTCATCACCTCCTGAAGTTTTTTCTTAGGTGTTTTACAACTCAATAGAGAACCTTTTGGGATAATAGCTTAAAATAAGGAGTTCAGTGAAAAGTCAAATTATTCCCTTGCAACCTACTTTGAACTTTAAAAGTTAAAGTAGCTACAAAAGGTTTCTGCAGAAATGGTTCATAATTAATCAATCATAATTTAAAGTTTAGAGTTTTTAAAATTTAATTAGATTTTGGGGTAGATCTTTATTTTGTTAGTGGTATCCAAAATGTTATCACTGTAATTGTGGAAAACATGAACTTCAGGCTGTTTTAGTATTCCCAAATACTACTAGCTTGCATTTGTTACTTCTGTCCTTCCTAGACAAAGAGAGAAACTAGTATATATACATATATTAATGTGACACAAGGTCAAGTCCTTAATTTGGTTAGAAATATAGAAAAATGAATTCAAATATGTTATTACCATGAATTAAAACATCATTAACAATACTAACAAAGTCTTTTAAGTAATTTCTATAATTGTGGGCTCTTAGTGAATCCTCATTTTCCTTTCCCCAAAGCAATACAGTCATTAAGGAATGAAAGGTGCCTAGTTAGAGGTTTAGGTAATCACCACCACTGCCTCCACAGGTCCACGGTTCTTCTGAAGGTGCTGCAAATAATGCTGGCATTTTTTAGAAAGGGCTTGAGAATGGGAGCACTACCTCCTTCCACATTTAAAATCTTTCACATGGAAAAAAGTCACTGTAGAGTCCTCAGAACTTAAAGTAATGTGCATAGGGAGAATGTTTAAGTAAATATAACTACCAAGCACATAAAATAATATTTTGATACAGATTAAAAATGGAATTCCTTAGAGGTGATGACTGTAGTATGGATATGTTTTCGTAAGACTAAAGAATTGTGGTTATTTTATTTTTTGGGGGGGTCTGGTTGTGAGCCTGAACTCTGGGTCTGGGCTCTCTCCCTCAGCTCTTCAGCTCAAGGCTAGCTCTCTACCACTTGAGCTACAGGGCCACTTCCTGCTTTTTTCTTTTTGCTTATGTGGTGCTGAGGAATCGAACCCAGGGCCTCATGCATGCAAGGCAAGCTCTCTACCACTGAGCCACCTTCCCAGCCCCTAGTGGTTATTTTTATATTTAATTTTCAAGTATATATATGAAAGCATGCCATACTTAATTATTACTATTTTTATTCTTGAAGGTTCTTGCTCAGAATTCTGGTTATGACCTGCAGGACACACTAGTGAAAGTTCAGGCTGAGCACTCAGAATCGAAACAACTTGTTGGTATAGACTTGAATACAGGTAAGACACTGAAGAAAACATAGCTTTTTAATAGAGGGACTATTCTTCAATGATCCAGGTCTTACTGTAAAAGGGTATGGGTTTGGGTGATTTTATTATTTACATTTTGAGTGCCTCTAGTTTACTTTTTAGTGTTGTTCACTCATTTAAGAACATAACTAAAACCGTGTTGCTGGTGGCTCACACCTGTGATCCCAGCTACTCAGGAGGGTGCAGTCTGAGGATGGTGGTGGTTGTATTTGAAGCCAGCCAGGGCAGGAAAGTCTGTGAGACTCTTATCTCCAATAAACTACTCAGAAAAAGCCAGAAGTAGAGCAGTGGCTCAAGTGGTAGAGCAGCTAGCTTTGAGGAAAAGAAGTCTAGGGACAGTGACCAGGCCCTCAGTTTAAGCTCCACTACTGGCTCACATGTACATGCATACACACACACACGCACGCACGCACGCACGCACGCGCGAATGTAATTGAGAATTGGGCTCTGATGGTTTACTCCTGTAATATTAGCTATTCAGGAGACTGAGATCTGGAGGCTAGCAGTTCCAAGCCAGCCAAAGCAGAAAAGTCTGTGATACTTTCACCTTTAATTAACCAGCAAAAGGCTGGCTGGATGTATGGCTCAAGTGGTAGAGCACCAGCCCAGTGGGCTGGAAGTCACAGGAAACAATAGTGAGAATAGTCAACTTATGCTGCTGGTGGATGGTGCTTATAGTCCACCACTTAACAACACAGAAGCTGTGAATGACTTGGACAAAAATAGTTTTGGTACCTTTTAGATATTGCTAAGAATATATCAATCAAAATTGACAGACTATATCAATATTGTGGTATTAAGATGATTTCCTTTTACTTTGTTAGGGGAGCCAATGGTAGCAGCTGATGCAGGAGTTTGGGATAATTATTGTGTAAAAAAACAACTTCTTCACTCTTGGTAAGTTGACAATAACAAGATGAGAGATATTAGGAGTATTATTGATAACATCAGAGTCTATTTTTGTCACCCTACAGTAGAAAAATTATTAAGTATGTGGTATTGTATGGTATCTAGTTAAGATTAACTTCTGTCATTTTACAACCATTTTCATATTTTATTATTTGTAGCAATATAAGTAACAGGAAAAGTTAGACTTACTGTTTATTTGGGGTGAGAGAGAAAGAGGAAATTACTGAACTAATATTACCTGTATACTCTGGAAAATCAAATTATGTGCTTAGAAATAAGTTCAGTTGCCGGGCACCGGTGGCTCATGCCTGTAATCCTAGCTACTCAGGAGGCTGAGATCTGAGGATCGCGGTTCAAAGCCAGCCCGGGTAGGAAAGTCCATGAGACTCTGATCTCCAATAAACCACCAGAAGACTAGAAGTAGTGCTGTGGCTCATGTGGTAGAGTGCTTGCTTGAGCTGAAGAGCTGAGAGACAGTGCCCAGGCCCAGAGTTAAGCCCCACAACTGACAAGAAAAAAAGTTCAGTTTTGCTGGAATAGAAATCAGGCTTCCACCTTGTCAGCAAAGAGTTGGATTGTATTTGTGGTTATAATAGTTTTGTCTTATAAAATCTCATGCCAGAGTAACTGGAGAAAAAGGGCCTTCACAGTGAGGATTGCAGGGGGTGGGGGCAGGGGATGAGGAAGTGGGGGGTAAGTGGTAAGCAGGTAAGCTTTGCTCATGTGCTTCTTTCCCCTCAGCACAGTAATTGCCACTAACATTCTCCTGGTTGATGAGATCATGCGAGCCGGGATGTCTTCTCTCAAAGGGTGATTCAATTCAAAACCAGCTCTTCTGCAAAACAAGATTTAGTAAACCTTTCATCCAATTGTTATTGTACAGCCTGAGCCAGTCTTAATTCTCACAAAAATAAATGCAGTTTGTATCTTTTTGGTCTTAACAGTCTCAAAAATATTTCACGAGGATAAAGCACAACAGAGGTATTTTCAAGAAAGGAATAATAATGGGAAATTTTCTCTTGAGTCCCAACTCCCTCTCTGTATTATATGCTATTACAGTTTTATAAAATAGAATCTATTATGATTCTCAGACATTCTAATTAAGTAGATTAATTCTAATTAATCACATATGGAAAACAGGTTTTAGAGCATACCAGGTAATTTTCAGTTTATCAGATGTTATGAATATAAGTAAGATAAAATGCTTTATGATTTCTCAAAAAGTCAGAAACTTTTTTTTTTTTTGGGTCCGGTCGTGGGGCCTGAACTCTGGGCCTGGGCGCTGTCCCTCAGCTCTTCAGCTCAAGGCTAGAGCATTACCACTTGAGCCACAGCGCCACTTCCGGCTTTTTTAAATTTTGCTTATGTGGTTCTGAGGAATCGAACCCAGGGCCTCAGGCATGCAAGGCAAGCGCTCTACCACTGAGCCACCTTCCCCGCACCCCCCCCCCAAAAAAAGTCAGAAACTTTTTGCTGCCACTGTTTCTCTCATATATGCTTTACTTTAGCAAGTACAGGTTTGGATTGAACTTATTTATAATACCTTACTCAACTTATTTAGTGTGTACTTTGTTATATCTTACCTAGTTCAGATTTTTTTTTCTTTTTGTTGGTTGTGGGGCTTGAACTCTGGGCCTGGACGCTGTCCCTCAGCTATTCAGCTCAAGGCTAGCACTCTACCACTTGAGCCACAGTGCCTCTTCTGTTTTTCTCATGGACTTTCCTGCTCGGGCTGGCTTTCCTTGAACTGTGATCCTCAGATCTCAGCCTCATGAGTAGCTAGGATTACAGGTGTGAGCCACCAGTACCCAGCTGATTTTTGTTTTTTTGAGACAAGGTCAATAATTCAAAAATTTCCTGTAACTGGCTAAGTAGCCTAGGCTGACTTTGAACTGAATCCTGCTACTTCAGCCTCCTGAGTGCTAGGTTTACAACCTGCTGGTCCTGGGGCTTGAACTCAGGCCTGGGTGATGATCTTGAGCTTTTTGCTTAAGGCTAGAGCTCTACCACTTGAGCGGTAGCTCCATTTCTGGCTTTTTCTATGTAGTTAAATGGAGATTAAAATCTCATGGACTTTTCTGCCTGAGCTGGATTTGAACTGCAGTTCTCAGATCTCAGCCTCCTAAGTTGCTAGGATTACAGACATGAGGCACCAGTGCCCAGCCAACCTGCCGTTAGTCAACACCCTCTGCTACTACCCTCTCTGACTCAATGCAAACATGGGGAGTGTTAGCTTCAACTCTGGAAAGCCATTGTTTTGGCTTTGGAATCAACTGTTCTATGTAGATATGAGAGTGATATCTATCTTGTTCAGAATTCTGATTTATTGTACTTGTTAGGTTCCTTATGGTTAACTTCTTTCCATACATCCAAGTTGATAGGATTTTAAAGCAAGGCAGGTACGTTAAACAGAGCTTTGGCCTATTGCTCCACACAGTACAAGCTTCCTTTAACCATTTAATGCCTTAATTGAAAACAAAATTTTATAGCTTCTTTATTTTTCAGTTAATATGTTATCAACATGTTTTCTAGCCAATCATCAATCACACTTCTAAACTGTCTTATCAACTTGATTTACTAATTCTAGTTTTAATTTATTCAATTATAAAGAAGGATTTTTTTTGGCAAGTAAAAGAGTTTGAACTTAGGGCCTTGCGCTTCCAGTCTTTTGCTGGCTATTTTGGAGCTCAGTGAACCTTTTGGCCCAGGCTGATCTTGAACAGGTATCCTCCAGATCTTAGCCTCCTGAGTATCTAGGATTACAGATGTGAGCCACCAGCACCTGGCACAATGATCCTTTTAAACTTATACTCTACTATAGTTTGGGCTTTTTTAGCCCAAACTATAGTCATAGTCTGTATATTGTCATTCCTTTTCTATACAAAATGTTTAAATTTTGAAATATTTTTGAGTGGACTCTCACTATGTAGCCCAGGTTGGCCTCAAACTCAAGATCCTTCTGCCTCTGCCTTCCAAGTACTGGGATGACAGGCTTGGGATACCACACTCAGCTGAAATATTTAAAATATACCAAAAGGACTGCAAATAATAATGTTGTAAGTACCTGTGTACCCTCTATCTACTTATAAAAGTATCATTTTGCCATGTTAGCTTTGGATTTTTTTTAAAGAAATAAAAAATATAGATATTCCACTGCCTCCTTTTCCAAGCCTTTTTCTCTACAGGTATTTTTTTTTTTACCTCTGTGCACTTAAAAAAAACCCAAACTTATAATATATAAGCATGACAATGTGAATTCTTGGTGTGTGTATGTATGTGTTTATGTGCATGTGCATGCATGCACACACATGCATGCACTGGTACTGGGACTTGAACTCAGGTCAAGGGTGTTCTTCCTGAACTTTTTCTGCTCAAGGCTTGTGCTCTACCACTTGAGCCACAGTTCTACTTCCTCCAGTGTCAGCTTCCTGACTAGTTAGGATTACAGGTATGAACCACAGGAGCTCTGCTAAAGGACACCACTTAAAAAAATCTCAGGAGTATGACTAAGAAATGGAACAAATAGGGGCTGGGAAGGTGGCTCAGTGGTAAAGCGCTTGCCTTGCATGCCTGAGGCCCTGGGTTCAATTCTTCAGCACCACATAAGCAAAAAGAAAAAAGCTGGAAGTGGCGCTGTGGCTCAAGTGGTAGAGCGCTAGCCTTGAGCTGAAGAGCTGAGGGACAGCACCCAGGCCCAGAGTTCAGGCCCCACGACCGGACCCAAAAAAAAAGAAATGGAACAAATAGAGAATAAGGAAAATAGAACAAACAGGTTGGGGAGAGGGTATTCTGTAGAGAGAAAGGTGTGTCCCTGGATTAAAAGAAAACACCAGAGTAATAATAGACTCATCATTTTTTTCTCGTCTGAGACCAAGGGCTTGAACTTGGTATCTTATCTGACTCTTTTACTTACTGGTTAGCAGTCTACCATCTGAGCCATGCCTGCAACCTGTCTGTCTCTTTTTTTAAACTACCTCTTGTGGTCTATGATGAAGGTTAAAAAAATTATAAACAATGGTTTATAAAAGTGACACTAAACATGAAGTTTTAAGAGCATCTTATTTATTTAGTCTATGCTTGATAAGTCCTTGCTATAGACACATTAAAAAGATATTTAAGGGTTGTATGAGTAGCACAAGTGGTAGAGTGCCTGCCTAGTAAGCATAAGTTGAAGGCCTGAGTTCAAACACTAGTACCACCAAGATTAAAGTATTAAAGGACAATGTATGATAAACACATGTATATAAGTATAAAATGAGCTGTTTGAGTGCCCGGAAAGTACTGTGTTATGGTTGAAGTGATGTTCTTGTTTTGGTGCAACATAATACTAACCTTTTATACATTGCTAGACTAAGTGCTAGAAATTTAAATGTGTTTATGAGTAATATTGACCTATAATTTTGCTTTAGTTTACTCTCCTTGATGTCAGTGATAAAATGAGCCTTGGAGTTATTCCTCTTTTTCTTTGGAATGCCTTCAGTCAATAAGCTGGGGAGGCATCTGTTTCTTAAAAGCTTGTTTGCATTAATAATTTTTTTTGTTTTTTGTTTTGGTTGTGGGGCTTAAACTCTGGGCCTGGACTCTGTCCCTGAGTTCTTTTGCTCAAGGCTAACACTCTACCCCACCTTTTTATTTTTGTCAGTCGTGGAGCCTGAACTCTGGGCCTGGGCGCTGTCCCTCAGCTCTTCAGCTCAAGGCTAGCACTCTTACCACTTGAGCCACAGGACCACTTCTGGCTTTTCTGCTCATGTGGTAGTGAGGAATTGAACCCAGGGCCTCATGCATGCAAGGCAAGCACTCTACCACTGAGCCACCTTCCCAGCCCCACTCTACCACTTTGAGCCACAGCACCACTTCTGGTTTTCTGGTGGTTCCTTGGAGATAAGAATCTCAGGGACTTACCTGCCTAGGCTGGCTTTGAACTGCAGTCCTCAGAGATTAGCCTCTTGAGTAGCTAGGATTCCTGGCATGAGCAACTAGTGCTTGGCCCCTGGAATTTTTTTTTCCAGTCCTGGGGCTTGAACTCAGGGCCTGGGCACTGTCCTTGAGCTTCTTTTGCTCAAGTCTAGTAGTCTACCACTTGAGCTGCAGTGCCAACTCTGGCCTTTTCTACTTATGTGGTACTGAGGAATTGAACCCAGGGCTTCATGCTAGGCAAGCACTTTACCATTAAGCCACATTCCCAGCCCTAGAGGTTTTTTTTATATATGGTCCTTCTTTCCTCAGCTATGATTTTTTCTTTTGTGGTGTTGGAAGTCATACCTATGACCTTGTTTGTTCACTATTTCTGAGTTATCCCCAGCCTCCACTGAGTTCTTTTTATTTTTGTGTTATCCTGGGGCTTGAACTCAGGACCTGAATGCTGTCCTTAAGCTGTTTTACTGAAGGCTAATGCTTTACCACTTGAGCCACAGTTCCACTTGTGGCTTTTTTTGGTTGTTAGAGATAAGAGTCTCATGGACTTTCCTGCTCCAGCTGGCTTTGAACCATGATCCTCAGATCTCAAGCCTCCTGATTAGCTAAGATTACAGATGTGAGCCATTGGTGCTGGGCCCATTTTGTTTCTAAATTCCCTAAATTAGTTATAACAATTACTGTTTTATGAAGTCAGTACCTACATAGAGTTTCCATGTTTACTCATTTCTTTGTTCAGCTGTATTTTTCTTGCACCTACTGTCTTCCTTTTGGGCTCACTTCCTCTCTTATGCTGTCTGTCCTTCTTGTAGAATAGGTAGCCATGCTCTTTTACTTTTTCCTCCAAGGGGGTCCTTGTTGCCCCTTACTTTGAAAATGCTGTCTCATTGTTTCCTGCAAGTACACATCTTGCTATTTTGATAAACGTTACCAAATCACCTACATTACATTGTACTTCCACTGCTCCTGTTGTCAGTTTTAAAAGCATGGATGCAATTTGCTTTAGGAAGTGTAATTGCATCATCTACACCTGAGCATGGTATAAACCTAGGGTGAATTTCTTGTAGCAGCCAGAAGCAGAA